AAAGGGGATCTTTGCCATGGGCCATCCTGGGAAGGTGACTGTGAGGCCGATGTAGTCTTGCAGAAAGGGAACTGTGAGGAGGAAAGAGACAATTAGCTATACTTTTTTCATAATAAAAGAAATTTTCCTTAAAAGCTCCCAGGTTCCTGCCATATGAGGACAAGGGTCCTACTGCAGTCCTGCCATAGCCATCCCCAAAGCCTCACTACAGTCTTCCAGCCAACCTCTTCGCTGAGTATGACTTATTTGCTGAGGTACCTAGAAACCAAATAGCTGGAGATCCACTAATTCCAAACTGATTGTATTCCTGACTCAACTCCTCTTTGCCCGAAGCAAAGAAGGGCTTCATCCACTTAAACACCACCCAAGAAGAAGAGAATTTTCACAGAGATGGAGTCAGAATGGGAAGTCGAGGCATCACTCATGGACAAATGGGCTCACTTTTGCAAAATATTTTAAAATATAGGACCGTAGAGACCTATTCATCAGGGTCCCCTTAGGAGCCTAGAATGGGACCAAGACAGGGGTGGTCCTGGAGCTCACACCTTGCTGTCTTCAGTAGGTCCTCAGGCGTCAGACTCCGAACTGGTGGAGGAGAGCAGTCACATCTTTTTCCTCTCTGCATGCACAGCTCCTTGCACAATGCCTGCTGCACGTGGGTGCACAGAGAGATTTCATGGTTGAAAGGAGCAACGGTGAACACGCAAGGAAGAGACTGGCTAGAGGAGGTGCTCAGCTCCTAGATCAACTGCCAGGACGACACAAAGGGAAAGCACAGAGAGAAAAAGACTTTTAGGATTACTGTCAGAGACATTTCCAGGTGAATTTTTTTCCTACCCTTTTTCCGATTTCACCTTCCTAAATTTGGGCTATTGGCCATTAGTTGAGTCCTGTGGGAGGCTGCACCCTACCTCACACAGAAACACAAAGGCCAACTAACTACTTGCTTTCCCTGATTCGAAGAGGCTATGAACATGACCTCCCTTTGTCTGAAGATGCAGCCGCTAGGGATGTGCATCCGGGGTTACTTACTGATGAGAATGTATTCAGAGAGTGGAAACAGCACCTAGTGTCCAAAGGCAGAGGGTCCGCCCATGGTGCTCTGTTCAAGCCACGGCGTGGTGGTGGCAATGGGGCCAGAATTCATTGTCTAGCAGCACTTCTCAAGGTGCAGAGCTGGAAAGAAACTTATTTTAGCATCTTTACCTTTGTCGCCATGACAACACACTCTGCTGATTCTGCCTTTGTCCCTTGTGCAGACACACTCTCTTCTTGTTCTCCTGACCATTTCTTCTGTGTCACCCCTGAAGACTCTGACATTTCACCTTCCTGGGATCCCTGGCCTTTGTTTTTTACTTATCTATTAACTAATTTATTTATTCATTTATTGGTGCTGGAAATTGAACCTAGGACCTTACTCATGCTAAGCACAAGCTCTATCACTGTGTTATACCCACACAGATCTTCAAGATTCTCAGAAGTGGTAGGCTCATCCTCTCCTCACTTTGTAATCGCCCACTGACAAGCTCCTCCTCCCTCTCCCTACTCAAGTCCAGGGACCCTCAGCTCTAGCCCAGATCACCACAGTATCATCCTTGCTGGCCTCTACATCCACCCACACACCTCGCTACCTCCCACCCTACCTCTCTAATCTCTATATTGAAACCAGACTATACTTTGGAAATGGCAATCAGATTGCTCCTCTGTGGAAGCCCCTCCTTGCATTCTGAGTTTTTATAAGATAAATTCTCAAATCCTTATGGCGACCTATACAGCTCTATATGAACTTGTTCTTGCCTACCCCTCAAAATCCGTAAGATATGATGCCTTGTCCTTTGATGAAACTGACCTTCCCTCCATTCAGCTATTTCCTATTCATAACTCAAATCTCAATTCAAGTATGATATGTTTGCCAGAGTCCTACTAACCCAAACCAAATCTGATCCCCATGTTAAATGTTCCCAGAGAAACAAATACTATTCTTTCATAAGTATTCTCATTTGGAATTATACATTTTTATGTGTAAACATGGGATTTGATGCTTAAAAGTAACTTAATGTTTGCATCCTTCAAAATTCACACATTGAAATTCTACTTCCCAGTGGCATCAGGAGGTGATTGATCATGTGAGCAGAGCTCTCATTAGTGAAATTATTGCACTTACAAAAGAGACCCTGGGGAGACCTCCGGACTTTCTGCCATGTAATGTAACAGGGAGCAAATGGCAGTCCATGAGGAAGCCAACCTGACCAGACACCCATGCTGCCAGCACCTTGATCTCAGGCCCCAGCCTCCACAACTGTGAGAAACAAAGTTTGTACCTGTAGGTGCTGGGCCCCAAAATGGCTGTAGTTAGGCTCCCTACTGAGGATACCTCCGGTGGGCTATGTGATGTTTTTAGTATGTAGTCAGGGCTGGGAACTGTCCATGTTATGGATGGTCAAGCCAGAAACACTGTGATTCAGCATATAGACTCAAGGTGGGACACATTAACTCTAAGCATGCGCCACCCCCATCCCCTTAGGTAGCCGGTTGGCAGTGTGCCTTCTTTGTTTGGCCTGCCTATAAAAAGGGGCTTTGGAAATGAGAAGATAGGGGCTAAACACGGTACTGGATGGAGGCTGAAGT